TATCTATATGTATACTAGTAATATAAATTAAAAATTGATAAAGTTTGTAACCAAATCATTTTAAAATTTAAAACAATTGGTTGTTAAATGATTATCTACTTAATAAACGCAAATTTAAATAAATTATTAGAACTAATTTATAAAAATTAGTCTAAGTGATTAGAAAAGTTTTGCTAATCGAAATCACTAACTTGTGCTGCAAGAGATAACTCTGAATCTAAATACAGCACATATTTAAACCCAATTTTTAATAAATAATTGACATAGTTAAACTAAAAATTAAAAACCTTGATTTAAAAATATAAACCCTACCGGAATCCACCTATACTCTTTTATTATCAAAACTAATCTTAAATCCCAACTCACTTTCATATAATGTCGGAACACCAAAAGTTTCTGGAAATATATAAAAATCATCTAGTCATGAAGGCGATCTACTAGACCGATTTTAATAATTCACTATTAGAACCGCTCTATAATATTTGTTAAAACTCAAAAAGGTTTACAAAAAAAAACTTTTCATTGTAAGCTAGCTGCATTCCAATTTTATAAAACAATTTATATGAACTTTTGCCGATTTCTACTATGAAATTTACTATCCTTTATAACCTTTAATCACGATTTACCTCTGCCGAGACAATTATTTATTTTTGTTTATTAAATTTTATAAACTAGAGTATATAGATTACTTCAATTTATTTAGGTATTTCTAATTAATTTTTTATCTAAATTTATTCTAAGGTCTTTAAAAGAAACGAACTATAATTATTAAAAATTTTGAAACAGAAAAAAGAGATACACGTAATAATAAATCATAACACATAAGAATGTATGTCACAATCTAAACGATTAAAATGTGTAAAATTATTTACAACGAAAATTATAATCGAGGAAAAAAAAAAACTTTTGAATTACCTATATATAAATAAATACATCACCAAATATCACCAAAATAAGAGTTAAATAACCACGAAAAGAAATTTTTAAAGGAATTAAAAGTAGAAATGTCTACAAAAAACCAAGCAATTATAGAAATCAAAACCACCACGAATGCACCGATAGTGAATAAAGAGAAATTAAATCTAGTTAAAGGATTACGAAAAGTATTATTGTTATTAGAAATATTTTTATTTTGTTGTCTAATTTGTTTATTAGCATAATCAATCTTCTTTTCCAAATCAGTTTCTTGAGCTCCATAATGTTTGGCTAATTGAAATGCGGAAATCGAATCATGAAATTTATTTTTCTCGAGTAAAATGCAACCTATTCGAATTTTTAAATAAAATTAAGAAAATTTAATAAAAATCAAGTGAACATATTTTAAGATATATGTAGAGAGAGAGGGGATACCTTTACGATAATATCCTTTAGCCCATTTTGGATCTAGACGAATACAAGTTTCGGCATGATCAAGAGCTTCATCCAATTTACCAAGTTTTAAATAAACTTGAGCACAATTAGAATTAACCAATAAATCATTTGGATTAATTTCAAATGCTCTCAAATATTTCTCCAAACTTTCATTAAACTTTTGTTTTTTATAAAGTTCATTTCCTTGTAATCTTAATTTTTCTGTATTGGTATCATTTATCGAAGTTTTGTCAAATACAATATTACCATCATCGGAATCATCATCTGAATCGATGATCATATTTTTAATATCTTTACGATTTATTACTTTTTTTTCAAGTTCTTGACGTTTTCTTAATAATTTTTCAGCTTCTTCAACCTTTTAAAAAAAGAATAAATTTTTTGATGAAAATAATAAGAAAATAAAATAATGTTATAACGTTAATAATATGAAAATAATGTTATAACGTTAATGATACCTGACCAAGTTCTTTATAACATTTTGCCAATCGAGCGTATCCAACCGAATGTAAAGTAGTATTGCCAGGTGCTATATCATGGCTAATTGGAGTGTTTGGGAAAGTAAGGATCTTTTCGGCTAGAAAAAAAAAATAACGTATGAATATAACGTATAAATATAACATAACAGATATGGATATAACGTATAAATTTAGACTAGGAATTTTAAAATTAATAATTTATGATATATAAAATAATACCGTCAATTTTTGCTTCCTCATATCTTTCCAATTGAATTAAACTGAGAAATATTAAAAAATGAAAGAAATTATAATCAAAAATAAAAATAATATTTTTAGTGATATTTATAAAGACTTTTGAGAAATTAAAATGGATGAATATAGATATAAACAAAAATGTCGTACCAAGTGCACCTACTCAACAAGGGTAAATGAGCATCGGGTAATTTTTCAACAAGAAAACTAAAAACTTTAACAGCTTCATCCAATTTATTTTCAGAAATTAGTTGAGAAGCTTTTTGAATTAGTTGTGGACCACTTAAAGATTCCATTGTTTTTTTTTTTAGAAAAAAAGAATTAATAAATCGGAATAAGAATTAAGAATTGAAATTAATAAGAATTTGAATGAGAAATATAAAAAGACTAGTCTACCAATTAATTTTACGTAAAATTGTTTACATTTATATATGTGCATGCATAGCGATAGTACCGATAAAATGGAACCTTAATATCACGTGAATATGAGTGAATATGAAAATGTGACAACCCACGCGTAAAATATTACGTGTAACCTTGTAGTTTTGCCAAGTGTAATCCATACAGAATTACGTACGTACGTATAAAAAATTTATTTATTATTTTATGACACTACGTACGTACAATATTACGAAGCTAAGATAGATATGACGATAATTGAAAATAGTTGTAAATATTAGGTTAATGGTTGTAAATATTAAAATCAACATTTTAAGCAAGTCAATACGATGAAAAAAGGTGATATATTCGATTAGAGTTTAGAAACCGGTTTTATTTTTTCATATGTTTAAAAACCGATGAAAAAACATTTAAAACCGGTTTTAACATATGAAAAAAAACAAAAAAACTCGTTTTAAAAACTTTAGATATTTTGTGAGAATATCGGTATTGGTACGTATGATAGATACGTATCAGTATTTTCATTCAAAAAATAATAAAAATATATTCAGGGGATTTTGTAAATAAATGATTGGATTTAAATAAATGATTGGATTTAAATAGTGATAACGATAACAAAATCACAAAATCGAATAATTTAAAATGATTTAATTTTAAATAAAGTTGAATAATGAAAAGAATACAAGGGCGTTATCTAAATGATTAGTTTTAAATAGTGATATTGATACGTAACAAGTTTGAGTACAAGCCATTATCATTATTATATACAGTATTATGTATTAGGAGACCAACCAACCGATATCGATATTGGATGAGGGGTAAATCAAATTTAATAATAATAATAATAAAAGAATTAATTTAAAATATTTAAAATATTTTTACGACAAATAATAAATATTTATTTAACAAAAAATCAAATAGCAGCTTAAATAGTATATAGTTTAAGTTTAAAGCTTGGTGTCACGTGAACGGAAACCATTGTATAAAGTTTAATTCTGGATTTAAAAAGCCAATCGAATAATAAATGCAGACTTACCTAATAATGTTTATATAACAATCGGACATCGGGGGGGGTTATAAGTAAAGTTAGCCTATCAAAGTCTCGTGACACACTCTTGTGATCTTTAAGAAATCGCGAATAAAAGAAATATAACAAAATATAACAGTATAAAAGTAATATATGAGTAATATGAGTAATATGATTAATATATGAGTATTACCAAAATATAGAATTTATAGAATTTATAGAATTTATAGAATTCCAATATATATATTTCCAATAGAAATTAAAGAATAAAAATAGCGTAGCGATAATTCATTTATACATTAACATGCATATTATTGTAAATTTAATTTTAATTTTTTAAGGTAATCAAGTGTACACCGTGATGAAATGTTTCACGATAATGTACATAACAAATCAATTAATTTATCGCGTCCCTCATGTTCTTTCTCTTGTTGATCAGAAAAGAAAATTATAAGATTCATTGTTAAAAGAAGGCGTTATTAGTAAATGTTGTATACCGATACACGATAAACCGATACACGATAAGTTACAAAATACAGTAGATTATATGTGCGAATGAAAGAAAGCCACAGGGTCCAGCTGTAAAAGTATTAATGATACTTTTTTTAGTAAAGTGGGCAGAACCGAAGGAAAAATAGAGACGCCTTTCGGGTACAAAAGAGGAATGATTAAAGGATGAAAAAAAGGAATTCAGGACATAAAAATGTAGCCATTATGATTATAAATCTATTGCATCAAAGGAGGTAGTTACAGAAAAAAGGAATGACAGAAAAAGTAGTGTAAGAAAGCAGCATTAAGTAGCATTAAAAAAAGTAGCATTTAAAAAGTAGCATTAAGTGACATATAACAAAGAGTAGTTTCAAAAAGTATCGGCATAAAGCAATAAAGAGATAGAGTTGCATTAAAAAGGGATAATTGATAATTTAAAAATATTATATATAGTATAAACACAATATACTTTGTAAATAAAAGGATCATAAGGGAGTAACGCAAACTTCGCGACTTATTTTGGTGTCCTCGTGTTGCGACTCGTGAACAAATAAGCACAATAAATTTTTTTTTCAATTAGCGCGCATTTGGTGAAAATCGTGATATAATCAGGTAAGTATAATCTTATAAATATACAATAAAACCCTAGATGGTTATTTGTTTAAAGATTCGATTTTAAGTAAAATTTAAATTTTATAGTAAATCAGTAAATTTTAGAGTAAATTTTAAAATAATCTTAAAGTAAATTTTAGAGTAAATTTTAGGGTAAATTTTAAAATAATTTTAAAGTAAATCTTAAAGTAAATCTTAAAGTTAAGCGTACAGATGACCTTTTAGTCATTGATAGCATTGGAGGCGCATGTGTGAACATTCTACATTAATATATAATTGGTATGTAAAAGGAAAAGAAACAAGCCTAGTTTTGAACTTTAAATTTAACTAGACATTTTAACAGGATAAGGAACAATTGCGCAAAGCTTTATATTATTTCCTACAGTGCCTACAGTGCCTACAGTGCCTACAGTGCCTACAGTGCCTACAGTGCCTACAGTGCCTACAGTGCCTACAGTGCCTAC